ATTTATTGCTCTGATGCCAGCAACGACTTCTGGTAGTCAATATAGGAGAGCCTGGTCAGAACGGCATACCCCAGGGTTGTAGTAATGGCTCTTGTACTTGTGCCCACAATTCTGGTGGTTACAGGCTGCTGGGAGGGGTGGTATCCTCACTATAACCGTGTTCCTGTGGACACTGATTCCCATTTAAAAGCACCTGTTCTCAAAGGCAGACATTAGTGAGTACTAAGCACTATAAAACCCAGTCCTCAGGGTGGCCTTAAGGAAGTGCTCCCTCCCACTTTGCACTGAGGACAGGGGTTCCAGCTGCTCAGAGGTAACCCACTCACCAGCCCAGCAGGCTCCACACTGGTCACAGATGGGCCTGGTGCCACCGCCATGACGCTGCACAGGAAACTTCCTGACCCAACCACTCCACTGCCCTTGTCCCATGGGAACACTGGGAGCATGCCCCCTTCCCGTCATCCTCCAGGCTCTCAGCAACCTGGCACACCACCACACTGCCACAGAAGGGTGCCCGCCCTTTATCACCGAGGATCAAGGAGTGCTGTCTGTACCTCCAGTAAAATCTAGTCTGTGCTGCCAGATGCCAGATGGTTCCGTCCATGTCTTCTGGAGACGATCTCATTAAATATCGCAAAATATTAAATATTAATAAACTCTTGTTTTAAAGTATTAGAAATAACACAACAGATTTTTATAGAGCCACCAAAAAGGAGCCTAAGTGTAAGAGAAGTTTCCGGTTTCCCAGTGAATCATAGAATTCCTTGTGTTTGGGAACCTTAAGGTGACCAGACGGGGTGTCAGCCTCCTCTCAGTTCTGCTGTGACTGCGGAACCGTCTAGGCTTCCCGTGGGGCAGACAGGACTGCAGGGCTCAGAGTCCAGACCCCACCGGCAGGGAGAAGTAAGCATCCATCTAGCCGTCTGAGCAGGGCAGTTATGGACATTTAGGTTTTAACCAAGCAACTGACTTCAGTGCCACCAAGAAAAGTACAGTGTGGGACAAATGTCACATGTAGAGATGAAGTCAACAGCCAAGGTGGGGGTAGGAGAGGGAAGAAATGCTCCAACCGAGTTGGAACAAAACCACTGGCCTCCGTTTCTGGCCCAGGAGTTTCCAGAGGAGGAGCTCACAAACAGCCTGCCTCCTTAGTCCTTTCTCTAATTTACCCCTGACGCCACCTTCTTCAAGCTATTTTTAGCACAGGCGTACAGGGCACCCTGAGTGAAGGCCTCACCTTGCCTGCCCTGCTGGGACTCTGGCTATCTTTAATTAATGCCCGAGGAACACAAGACCAGCCTTTCTCAGGGTGGTGAAAGGCTGCACAATGGTGAAATTCTACCTTGTAGGACTGACAGGCCAGCTTCTGGCCACCATGCCTCAGGTCCCGGGGCTGTTTTCTGTTGAAAAGTCAGTGCCATCTGGACCATTTAGAGAGCAGAGAGACAATTTGCACCATCAAGTCAAGAGAAACCGGCCTGTGCTCTTTATCCAGTCCTGCTTCCCAGAGCACAGACGCGGTTTCACCATGAGACATTTCTGACATTGTTCCAAGTTCTACTGAGCAGCACTTTCTGGTAGGCGTGGCTTCACAGACCCCTTCCCTCAGACTGCCCCCCACAAGTGAGCCATCTTTCAGTGTGGAACGTGGCTGGAGACCTTCCGGACAGAAGGTCTCCAGAAACTGCTCAGCGCGGCTCCTCCCTGCACTCTGCGTGGCTCCTCCCTCCAGGCCTCCAGTCCACACTGTCAGCAAAGATGAAAACGGGATCTGGTCGTTTTGCTGCTATGGTCTTTCCCTACTGTAATCCTCAAGAGACAAACGTATTAAAACTTTGAAACCATGACTTGCAGCCATCCAGGTGTGGCTTTATTAAATCAGAGATGCTAATCATATCTGTGAAAGCAAACTGAATGTGCTGTGGATCCCGCGATAATCCAGTCCTCTCCCACCAAAGCCTACACTGTGAGAAGATAAAACGCTACCACCGAGGGGAACAAGCCCAGAGCCACAGGGTTTCCAGGTCGGTGACAGGTGTGACATGCACGCTGCCCAGTCCTGAAAGGAAGGACTCCCGCTAAGTCAAGCAAAATGCAACCTGAGCACATGCTAACATTCCACCCAGCCTTACCACAGTCTACAGCAACCCCGCCTCCTCATTCCACTCCATTAAACCAAGCAGGCCTATTTACCTAAGAGTCCATTAGTCCATTTAAAAACGCAATTCTCCAATGATCTTTTAGCTGATGGAACCATATGGCTCTCTTCACATTTGTTCGAAGTACTAAACTAAAACCTTTACCGGCCTAAGCAAAGGCCAGCCCACCACACTGAAGAGTTCACACCCTCATTCTGTCATGGGGGTCCCCACCAGGATGGCTCAGACTCCCACAGGAGACCAGTGTGTGTGAGACAAACGGCTGCAAGCAGTTAATAGCGCTCATCTCAACGGGTGATGGACTGGGATGGACTGTAGCAGGGACCCAGCAGAACCTGTTTCCCTCCCACTTTATCAATTAAGTTTACCAGGGAAGTAATCATTGCCACAAAATGACCACACCAAAAGAGAACTACCGGTCGGAAATCTCGGAACGTAGTTACTGAGGTGGCCGCTGACTAGGCGGTGCTGGCAATGGCACTCTGACCCCAGCACCTGTCTGTGTCTACTGCCCAAACTTCCGGTCACAAGTCATCAGATTTAATTGTTTACCACGCATGTAAAATGTCAGAGCCCTGAGAAACTGCCTTCCCTTCAGACAATGAGTCGTCGTCATCGTCCCGTCCCCACTCCCCGTGAGACAACCGTTGTCAATGTCTTCATAAAATGTCTTCCTAATCTGAGGTAGAAACTTCAAATCACCTGCAGCAAACGGCTGAAAAGCCGCTTGAGATTTTCTTGTGAGTTTGTCCTTTTTGCAGTCCATATTCTCAAGTCAGCTGAGCCCTCTGATGGGATTATACTTTGAGACCTTAGAGATGGGCAGGGACACCAAAAAACTTACGAAGTAATCAGACTCCCAAGTGCTCTGACAGCAACTACAGAGCTGAGGAGAGGAAGGGTCAGCTGACCTGTCCATGGCCAAGTCCTCACACGTGCTCAGAAATCCGCCCCCAAGCTGGGGGCGGGGCGGGCAGGTCCTTAATCTCACCTGCACTTCCAATACTAGCATCCTTAAGAGACACTGGTTGTGAGCAAACGCTGACCTAGGTACGGGACGCTACAGCTTCAAGTGGCACACCCTATAAAGACAGTCATCTGTAGACTAGGGCTCCCTGTGCACTACCTACTACTCACAAGCAGCAATGCTCCGACAAAGATGTAATGCCTTCAGACGGTTACCCTCTAGAAGTGTTTAAGCTACACTAAAAAGACATCCGTTTGAAAAGGGAGGATTTCAGGTCCCAGGCAACAGGAGACAATCCAAGTTTTATGGTTTAGGGGAAAAAATAAAAAGCTCACTGACTGATGAACTTGCACATTCAGACAGCAAGCAGTCTTCCCCACACAACTTTTCTGATACAGTTCCCACAGCGGAGCACACCAAGTCCTGAGTGACAGTGAGCCGGTGAATGAACCCACATGGAGGGGGCACGCAGGAACCTGCCCCGCCCCCGCCAGGAGTCTGTACTTGGCTCCACCCACCTTCAACTATTGTCAACATTCTGTCCAAGCTCACAGACACTCACCAGGGCAGGCGCTCTAGTGAAGCAATATACCAGGAATTTAAACAGAGGGTCTTGTATCAAAGACTGGAAATGTCACTTTCACTGGCACCAGCCCGGAACGTGACTTATAACAACTTAAAAATAAAACATGAAGAATGCAGATGTGGATTCCATACAGGCCAGCAGCAATATCATTGCTCAAAGAGCTAGTTCAATTTCGGACTGTATTTACGGACTGCAACAAAGTTGCTATTCGGCAAGGAAACTAGTACCACAGATACTGTGGCAGCAAGAGTGTACTCACGACCTTTGAACTTCCCCATCCCCCCACCGGACTGAGAGCCGAGGCCTTGTCACACTGGGTGGTGGAAGGAACAGGACAGAAAGGAAGGAGACTGAGGTCCCCACATGTCTGAGGAACACATCTGTTCTGTTTGCTTCCAGCCAACCAGGAAGAGAATCGAGAAAGAAGAACTTAGCTGAACCCAAGAAAGAACAAGTCAAGATCCTGGATGCTCGCAAACGCTCTGCCCACCCCTCCCCCAAGCAGGGAAGTGAACGGGTCACCCCCACGCAAGGCCAAACCTGGCTATCCATGCAGTCTTCCACCAGCGCAGGACGCTCCAGGAGACCGCCTGCCCCCACACCTCCCCCACACTGGACCTCCATTAGCAAGGCCGCATTCCTAACAGCAAAACCTCCCCATCTCAGTCAATAGAGCCATTATATCGGAGGCCCGGCTAGTGAGGGACCTCAGGTCAGGCAGGCATAACTGCCACAGTTCACAAAAAATAATCTGCAAAGTCAGTACTTCACAAAAGCCGGTAACACCAACTACTAAAAGCACACTCTGACTCACTGATGGCTAATTCTCTGCTCTCAGATGCGAGCGTTCCTTATTTTCGTCCCAACTAGCTTCCCTACACCATTTTCCTAAAGAACAGCTCAAATGTCAGTTGGCTGATAAATTCCAAACTCAGAGAAAGGAGAGCTGGGTCCCTGAAGGCAGAGGACCTCTTAGGGCCTTTCACGAGAAGCTGGCACAGGAAGTTCCTGTGCTGGCCCAGCTTTGTGAACAGGGCTGGTTGGCCAAACTGCCCGGCCACAGCAGGGTCTGAGGGGAAAGCCTGATCTGCCTTTATTCCCAGGCACCCATTATCCCTATTGTTCTCCTATCTCTGCCAGCACTGTAGAGATGCCTAGCCCGGTTCAGGTCCCCTGCTAATCCCGCCCCAGTCCCCAAGCTTATCGAGCAGAGCAGCTGATTTCCCTGCCTACTCAAGTTCTCAAATGACAACTACATGGACCAGCTTCCCTGAGTACAAGGAGCAATCTAGCAATCCCCTGGACACTCTCTAATGAAAGTCCTAACAGTCCAGTGGCCTAAGGGTCCCCAGACATGGAGAACGAACGGGAGTCTGAAACCAGAGACCGGTAGGCCAATTGCTTTCATCCTAAACAAAATATCCCACACCGCCACCACCAGCTGTGCAGGCCAGGCTTTACCTTTCTGAACATGGATGATGTCAGGGAAGTTGGCCAGGTGCCCCTGATACAGGGCTAACAGGTCCATGACTGGGTCCAGGTCCTGCCTGGGCTGCTCGGCGAAGAGTTCGCCGATGGCGTCGTAGGCATCTCCGGTGAAGGCGATGGCCTGGTTCAGGCCCACCGAGAAGGCCTGCTGATCCAGTTCGAAGGCTTGGCTGAGGCCCCGGAAGGACTGGCCCACCTTCTGATACTCCTTCTTGAAGCCAGTCACCTGCTTGCGCGCGAACTCGTTGGCGGTGTGGTTGAGCTGCAAGGCGCTGTCATCCATCTTCTTGGTGAAGCATTTGAAGCCATCGATCTTGCTCTCCACCTCCTGCAGATCCAGGGCGGCGGCAGGGGGCGTGCTCAGAGTGAGGAAGAAGTTGGCACCCACCATCTCATCCTTCTCAGCCTTTCGCTTGCCCTGTTTCCAGGCCTTCTCGTCCGTGCTGCTGGGGCAGGTCAGAAAATGCTGGAAGACGTCGCACTGTGCCAGCACCGGGTGGCTGGCCATGTGATTCATCCACCAGATCAGGCCCTTCCTGCGCTTGGAGATGAAGTCCTCCTCGAAGCGCCCGGTGGCCTGCTTCTCAGGCAGGTGGGGCACCGAGATGACCGGGAACTTCTCGGCCAGGCGCGCGTACAGCCAGTCGAAGTGCTTGTAGCGCCGGTGCACGGGCACCTGGGTGTGCGTGGGCACCAGCTTGTACGAGATGTAGGTCTTCATGCCCTTGAACTTGGTCTGCTTGGTGGGGTCGTCGATGGTGCACTGGAAAGGGTAGGGGTTCTCCTGCCACTCGGGGCCGTAGGGCCCCAGCACCACGCACAGCTTGTCCCCGTCCTTCACGAAGCCCGACGCCTCGCCCAGCACGAAGGCCTCCCCGCCGGACTTGACGAAGGTGGAGAAGCGATTGAGGTTGCGGCTCACCGTGGCCGAGCTCTTGGCCCCGGACGCTTGAGGCTGCGGAGGCGCCGGGCCGCCGCCGCGGGAGCCGAGCGACAGGTCGGAGCGCGTGGACAGGCGGTAGCGTCCGGCCGCGCCGCCGCCGCCGCCGGCCGACGACGAGCCGTCCAGGTCCGGGTAGGCGCCGCTGCCCAGCGCGCCGGGCTCGTCGGCCACCGTGGAGCTGTCGTCCCAGTCGTCGTCCCAGTCGTCGTCGCTGCCCTGGCTGGCCTGGTAGCCGCCGTACAGCTGCTGCGGCGACGGCTGCAGCGCGCCCCCGCCGCACGGGAAGCCGGCGCCCGGCGGCTGGAAGGAGCCCGGCGGCGCCTGCGGCTGCAGCGGCGGCTGGAAGGCGGCGGGCGGAGCGGCCGCCAGGGGCTCGAAGCCCCCGGCCGGCACGTTGGCGTAGCGCGCCGGGACCCCGGGGCCGCCGTCCGCCGGGGGGCCGGGCTCGGGCGCCCGGATCACCTGCACGTACGAGGCCGGGAAGAGGCCGCGATCGCCGCGGCTGTTGACCCCTTCGAGCCAGCCCTCGATGTCCCGCTCGCTGCACAGGCTCAGCACCTCGTGCTCGCGCAGAGAGATCTCTCCGGGGTTCTCCGACCTGAAGTCGTACAGCGCCCGCGCGCGCAGCGCCATGGCCCCGAGCCCCGAGCCCGGGCCGGCCCGAGGGCCCCGCGGTCAGTGCCCGCGCCCCTGCGCGCCCGGGGAGCTGTGCGGCCGCTGCACGGCCCGCTCCGCCGCGCCCCGCGCCCCGCGCCCCCGCTCTGCTCGCAGCCCGGCTCTGCAGCTCCGGGGCCGCCGGCGGCGGCTGGGGGCGGGGCCCGGGCCGCCCACGTCCCCCAGCGGCGCCAATCCACCGCCGAGAGCCTCGAGCCAGGCAAAAGCAAGAGACAGCCGAGCGGCCGCGCCGGCTCCCGCTCCGGCTCCGGCTCCGCGGCCGCCGCTGCCCCCTCGTGGTGGGTGTGCAAAGGTGGCGCGCTCGGGTGGACCACGAGGCGGGCGGGTGGGTTTGGTTTTCTTTTCGGGAGGGAATTCTCTGAAATTGTTTCGGTTCTTTGGTTAAAAATAATAATAATAATGATAAAATCATCTCTTACAAAATGAGTATCTGTACCCACGGTAGCCGTTCCTTCCTTCTCTGACGGTTCGGAGAGAAAGCTCCTGAAACGCGGGATAAAGGCTGGCACGGTGAGGGCTCGCATTTGCACTGGTAAGGATGCGCTTGCCAGGGCTGTGTTCGCTGCAGGTACTGCTCCTCCTCTCCTTCCCGCGCCCTCTGATCATCTTGGCAAGCAGAGGGGGCGGACGGGAAGGTCGTGGTTGGACAAGAGGCAAGCGCGTGTAGGGAGAGAGCAGAAGGGCGTGCAGAGAACTCACATCCAACATGTGCACGAATGAGAGAGAGAGACAGAGACAGAGACAGAGACAGAGAGAGACAGAGACAGAGAGAGACAGAGAGACAGAGAGAGAGAGAGACAGAGAGACAGAGAGAGAGACAGAGACAGAGAGAGAGAGAGAGACAGAGAGAGCGCTTGGCTTGGGGCCAGGCTGCAGGAGTCATTCCATGTTCTGACACTTCCTTACACTTGACTCCCTAGAGTTGTGTGAATTCATCCTATGGGTGAAGGATGTGATGCATGCAGTCAGCGCACTTGAGTTGTTTGCCGTGCGGTTGTCATCTGGGGAAGTGCGCTTTCTGACCTCTTCCCTAAAGAGAGTAAGGGTCCCCAAATTTCAGGTACACAATAGGAAAGGTCCCCGTGTCCACACCTTCACATCTCCTCCTGTCACTGACCACTCCTCTCCTCAATAAACGCATAGTAAGTAAATCAAAGCTCACTTCCTGAGATTTTAATCAACCCGACCTCCATAGTTGCCTTGTTTCAGATCTTTTCCTTCTAGGTATGTATACTTTGCCCAAGGCTTCCTTTCTCACACTGTCCTTACTGAGTCTAGCCCCGTCCTTTGAAGAAAACCCTGACTGGGACTTTGCAGTCACAAGTTACTCATCTCATCCTGTAATCTGACCCTTCCTATGACAGTCTGGGTATCTGATCGGAAGAATAGTCCATTACCCTAAGCACTGTGGTAATCCAAGCTTCCTGTTGTAAACCACATAACCAGGACACCAGACCCCGACTGTGCCTCCTACCGCAAAACCTTAACTCAATCTCGGAAGTAATTCTGAAGTGTTCGGCATGTGACAGTTCTCAGGGAGCTATCATTGGCATTCTACTTCATCACTTGACGCCATCAGAAGCACGAAGGCGGCGCTAACTAAACAGCTTATATGATGCAGTAACTCGAGAGATGTTCATCCATGATGTTCCAGGCAAAATACAGTAAAGTCACTCCACTACTCGGCACTAAACTTTAGATTCAAGAGTTAGTAGCTTCAGGCTTATCTCAGGTGCAATAATAATTCCAGGAGCGTACATGAAGCTCTTACAGAAAGGTTGAACACCTGTGGAAGCAACAGCTAAGGACCGCCAGGGGAGTTGAGTCTATTGATAGCCCAAGCGCACACATCTGTGAGAGCCAGGCTAAGGACTCGGAGCCTAAGGACTGTGTTCCAGTGACTTTACAACTGCTGTTCAAATTGCTGACTTAAGTTTATAAACGTTTGTTAAATGAATTTTGACTTGGGATTAGGAAGAATTGCTAGCCATTTGTGAAATGACCTTAAATACACTTCTGCCATTTTTTTTGTACTATAAATGACATTCAGAAGAATTGATGATTATAGAAACAAATGTCAATCAACTCTCCAAAGCATTGAGGATGCTGTGCCTTCCAGTAGTGAACATTCATCCTAGATGTAATTCTTATTTAAAAACAAACAAGCACACTTTTCTTATTAGACTGAAACTTTTGTCTTTAACTTATGGTAAAATTATATGCATGGAAAATTATTGTCTGAAATAATTGGATTATTATCAGTAAGTGATCTTTACAACGATTATATCTAAGGTTTATACATTTTTCTTGAATAAAGAAGTCATAAGTGGGAAAAGGTCGAGAAGCCCTTCTCTAGAGCAGTGGCCCTCAACCTTCCTAACACTGAGACCCTTTAACACAGTTCCTCGTGTTGTGGTGGCTCCCAACCATAAAATTATCCATAGCTGTAATTCATAACCGTTGTGAGGCATAATGTACATCTGATATCAAGGATATTGACCCCCAGGTTAAGAACTGCTGCTCTAGAAGTAGGACGTAATTTATAATTTAGTGCATGTAGCCACTGTAGTTATCAACAGTTCCTGTCTCCTTATGATTTAGACGTCCGAAACACCTCTATTTTCTCCCTTCCTGCAGTGCCTGGCTCCTGTCCGCCTCGTCCGCTGGGCAAGCCACGCTGCTTCTTCACTGTCTTGGGACTGCCCCTGCTTAAGCTGCTTCTTCGCTGTCTTGGGACTGCCCCTGCTTTTGCCTTTGCTGTTCTCTTGCTTGGACCCCACTTACCCTAGAGGTCCAGCGTGCTGCACCCTTTCCTCATGCAGAGTCAGCCTGGCTCCATCAAGCCCCTTCCTTCCTTCCTCCCTCTCTCCCTCCTTCCTTCCTCCTTCCTTCCTTCTTTCTTCCTCCTTCCTTTCTTCCTTCCTTCTTCCTTCCTTCCTTCCTCCTTCCTTCCTTCTTTCCTCCTTCCTCCTTCCTTCCTTCTTCCTTCCTCCTTCCTTCCTTCCTCCTTTCTTCCTTCTTCCTTCCTTCCTTTCTGTTTTGAAGCCCCAAGAAGTGAGATGGAGAGCACCTGTGTGCCTGGGTCCCTGAGTCTCTACTCCCAACCCTGCCCTTTGTTGGGCTAAGCCACTGAACTAGCAGGGTTGGTGTGCTGAGACAGCTGGCATTAATTACTCACCTAACACGGTCTCCCTCCCTCTGTCCCACCATCCAGAGGCCCATCTCATTTTCTTTGTAGCACTGGCTGTCTGACATCAACACATCTGTGCATATTAATTATCTCCTCCTAGTACAAAGTAAACCACTTCAGGCGGCGGTGATATTCTGAACGCCAAGGGCATAGCAATGAACAGAACAGAGTAGGCAATCAGCAAATACTTGTTTAATGATGCTTCCTCCCCCAAATGGTGTCAACTCTGAGAAGTAACCCTCACTGTGTCTGGGCCCTCCTGGTTTGATCCCTGCTGCATCCAGCTCAAGCTAAACGTTTCAAAGGGCAACTGAACAATACTTCTCATCAAGTCAACAGACTTAACACTGACTCACCCACCCAGACCACCACTGCAAACTTTCTGAGATTACTGGAAATGTCATTGAATGGGCTGAATGGGTCATTATCGTTTATACAACACTGTGTTTATATAATTACCGGAAACCATGCATATAATATGTCAAGCGTTACACAAACGAGTGTATAAGCCCTCCCACCTCCCACCGCCATTATGTTAGTCCCTGCTGTTTTCCGGGCCGTTCCTCCAGGCACAGAACGGACACTGTTGTCAGCCACAGACTGTCTGGTCAAGGCATGTGGTTGGTGAGTGACCTAGGAGCCACTCAGCCGTCTTGAGAACTTCCATTCCCTGAGTCATGGGCCTGTGCTTTGCTGGTTCCTCAAAATTACTGTTACTATTAAAAGGGCTGAACTAGAAACTGTGTCTGAGGGCTTAGATACAGGGACAGAGCAAGCTATACGGAAGGCCAATGACTGTCCCTGGGTCTGTTGGTGACACTTGTAATTAAAACTTTACTAGGACCATTTTTTAAAAATCATTTTTCTTCACTTCGATATATGCCCTGAATACTAAGTTAAATACTCATAGAGTGGATAAATAAATGGAAAAAGTTTTCCAACCCTTATTCCTCAAAAATAGGAATAAAAAAATCTACTTCGGAGCCAGGTGCTGTCATACCTGCCTTTAATCCTAGCACTCGGGAGGCAGAGGCAACCAGAACTCTGTGAATTCCAGGCAGACCTGGTCTACATTGCAAGTTCCAGGACAGTCAGTACTACACACACAGACTCTGCCCCCCCCCAAAAAAAAAGAAAAGAAAAGATCCTCAGGGGTTGGAGAGGTGCCTTGAGTCTTAGTAGTACTGGCTGCTCTTTCAAGGGACCTAGGTTCCATTCCCAGCACCCACACGACAGCCCACAACTGTCTGTAACTCCAGTTCTCTAGCATCTGTCTGTAACTCCAGTTCTCTAGCATCTGTCTGTAACTCCAGTTCTCTAGCATCTGTCTGTAACTCCAGTTCTCTAGCATCTGTCTGTAACTCCAGTTCTCTAGCATCTGTCTGTAACTCCAGTTCTCTAGCATCTGTCTGTAACTCCAGTTCTCTAGCATCTGTCTGTAACTCCAGTTCTCTAGCATCTGTCTGTAACTCCAGTTCTCTAGCATCTGTCTGTAACTCCAGTTCTCTAGCATCTGTCTGTAACTCCAGTTCTCTAGCATCTGTCTGTAACTCCAGTTCTCTAGCATCTGTCTGTAACTCCAGTTCTCTAGCATCTGTCTGAAACTCCAGTTCTCTAGCATCTGTCTGAAACTCCAGTTCTCTAGCATCTGTCTGTAACTCCAGTTCTCTAGCATCCGATGCTCTCTTCTGGCCTCTGGTCACCAGGCATGCAGGCAAAATATCCACATGCATAAAATAAAACCTAAAAACCTTTTAGATCCCCTCCCTTGGGTCAGGTCAGGATTTAATGAAATAGTAA